CAATATTTCCGACGGATTATATAATTATAATACTTGTTAACATGCACATAATTATTAATTCTACGATAAAGGAAAACACTATGAATATAATGAAAGAGATATTGTACATCCAAATCACAGTTATGTAAAATATAAATGAATAATTTAGCGAATTCAATTCACTGATTATACAAAAATGTTATGTATGAATAATGATGAGAATGATGATGATAATAATAGAAACATGAAGAAGAAAAATTATGTTAACAAAATATAATGAACTTTTTTATTCATGTATGTAATGTGAATTAATATTGTGCATATGTGTATTCTTATGATAGCATATATACACAACCACGGGTCAATACAAATGCACGCGCGAACACACACACACACACACACACACACACACACACACACACACACACACACACACACACACACACACACACACACACACACACATTAGCTGTTACTTCATTAGACAACATATGCAAACTTGATTAAATACATAAAACATTTAATTTCTGACACACTGGGATGCAAATATTAGCAATACAACATCGGGAAGATAAACATAATGTTAAATCATAAATGCAACAATCAGGCCACGAAGATCAGCCGAAAAAATCAGAGCGTGGAGGCGCCAAAAGGAAAGAACACATAGAAATCATAAATGGAAATAAATTATTAGAAAAGCAACAAAAAATGTTATAAGTGTATAAACTGAAATGTAATTAACATATATTACATTGCAGAGAGAAAGATACTCTATTCCTCAATAGTTAAAAAATAATAACAATATTGTGAAAACTCAAAAGACAAATACTAATATACAAGTATGAAAACGGAGTCATTTTAGCTATCTCTCAAGTATGTATGTATGGATGGATGGATACATGTGCATATATAAAAGCAGATAGGTGGATAGATAGATAGATAGGTAGGTAGATAGATAGTTAAGTAGGTAAGTTGGTAGGTAGGTACGTAGGCAGGCAGGCAGGCAGGCAGGTAGGTAGGTAGATAGATAGATAGACAGAGACATAGAGACAGATAGATATATCAATAGATACGTACAATCAAAAAAAAATATTTACAAGAAGTTAACATAGATATATTTCCCCATTTAAATACAAATAATAAGGAAAACAAGAACACACACAAGAAGGCGCACATATCTGAAACAGTCCTGGTATTTTCTGAAACAGAATATACCGAGACAGTTTTTCAGGCAAAGATAATAAAACAAGAATAAAGAATTGCATTGAAATTCAATAATCTTTTTATAGATCCTGAGGTAAGTTTGAGTGTATTACTCTTGGTAAACTTTTATGCTGGGTATCTTTTACGTGCTATCTGCCTGTCTGTGTTATGTTGGTAAAATAAGGTATATGTTTATTATTTTTAAATCGATTTATTCATATATCCCTTAATTCACTTATCTATCTCTCGAAATGTTTTCTGAAATAGTTACACACACACAAAGATAAGTGTATGTGGCTACATATAGATAGATAGACTGATAGTATGTATATGTTATGTAAATATTATATATACATATATATATATATATATATATATATATATATATATATATATATATATTATATATATATATATATTTACATGTAAGTACGTATGTATGTATATGAATATCGCACTTTCTTTATATTACTAATTAATCAATAATTAACCAACTACTTTATGAATGTTTATTTTACGGATTCACTTAATCAGTTCTTTATCTTCTTATTCTTTACACTAAGAAACCAACAAAAGAGGGGGATAGGGATAAAGGAAAACCCGACAAAAAACATTGACATACAGCTCCATTATACACCAAAGTAAAGGGATAAATACTCATTTATGATGAGGATAAAGTATAAAAAATCGAGGAATTATTAGAGGGCATTGTAGAGCAGAACCAATACTTTTAACGACTAAAATGGCCATATAATGGTTTTCAAAGTTAGACGAGAACAAAAAATCTAGTTCCATGAATCACATGAATAATGTTTCACGAATTATGGTGATTGGAACAGTTATTATTTAGAGACAAAGCTTGGCACAAATAGTAGGAGAAAGAGAAGACCAATAGAGGAAGAGAAAGGAAAATTGAGAGGAAAAGAAAATGAAACGAAAAAAAGAAAAGAAGACAAAGAAACGAGAAAGGACACATTGATGAAACAACCCTTAAACAATGGAAAAATGATACAAGTAGATAACGAGATTACTTTCATCTGAAGTGGTTGTTTTAAGTCAAGTGCCTCTTTAAGGGGTTCGTCACCTGCGCGCTCTTACTAGTGTATTAGTTGCGAGGAAGAGGGCGTCGAAATTTCTTTATTCTTCTTAGGATCTCACAAAAATGTTTATGAGTCGATATCCATGTGATTTATTTGTTTATCTTTGGTCTTTAGTCTTTCTCTACTCTTCTTTCGTGGTGTATGTAACGATTCAAATCTTCTTGATTAGTCTGTTTTTCTTATTTCTGCTTGTTCTACCTAATCTGATTATGAAACTA